TTGGGGCGTGTATGGGATGCAATCAATTGATGTTTCTCTCTCTCTCTCAAATCAATGAAAACATATCCTTGGTGAGGATTAAAAAAACAAACAAAGATAAAATGGCATTTTCAGATTAACAAAAATAGTGAGCATTAACTGCCAATAAGAATTCACTAAAAGAAATTCTTCTTTGGGCAGAAGAAACATTATTCCAGATGAAAATGAAGAAAGGAATAAAGACCAAACACATACTTGTCCTATCATGTCTGTCTAGCTTGTTAACTTAGCATCATGTTATCAAGGCTCATCCATGTTGTATCAGAATGTCTTTTTCGCTTATTTCCTTTTTGATGATAGCCTTCCTAATTTCTGTGAAGTGGTATCTCTTTGTGGTTCTGATTTATATTTATATTCTGATTTATATTTATATTTATATTCTGATTTATATTTCACTCATAATTGACGATGCCTATTGGCCATTTGTGTATCTTCTTGGGAGAATTATCTATTTCAGTCTTTTGCCACTTTTTTAAATTGATTTTTTTTGTGGGTCTTGAACTTTCAAAGCACTATATATATTGTGGTTATTAGTCCCTTATCAGATAGCTGGCTTGCAAATATTTTCCCCTATTCTATGGGTTGGTTCTCTTTTCACTGTCTTGATAGTGCTTTGATGCCTAAGTTTTTCATTTTAATGAAGCAGAATTTATTTTTCCTTTTGTTGCCTGGTTTTTGGTGTCATATTTAAGAAACCATTGGGAACAGTGTGTGGAATTGCGGAGGGAAGGCAAAGGGAGGGTGGGTGGGTGGGAGGTGATCAACCAAGACCTTGTATGCATATATGTATAACCCATGGACAGACAATAGGGTGGTGAAGGCCTGGGGCGGGGGAGGCAGGCTGGAGGGAGTCAATGGGGGGAAAGGGGGTACATATGCAATACTTTCAATAAGATTTTAAAAAAAAACCATTGGTATATCCAAGGTCAGGAATATTTGCCTGTTTTCTCCTAAAAATTCTATAGTTTTGACTCTTAAATCTAGGTCTTTGATCCATTTTGCCTATGGTTTAAAGACCCAACTTCACTTTTTAAAATATATTTTTATTGAATTGAGAGAAAGGGAGAGGGAGAGAAACATCAATGATGAGAATCATTGATCAGCTGCCTCCTGCACACCCCTCACTGGGGATCAATCCCACAACACTGGCATGTGCCTTGACTGGGAATCGAACCGTGACTTCCTGGTTCATAGGTCAACGCTCAACCACTGAGCTATGCTGGCCGGGCCCAACTTCATTCTCATACATGTGCATATCCAGTTTTCCAAGCACCATTTGTTGGAGAGAACTTTCTTTCCCCATTGGGTGGTCTTAAAGCCCTGGTGGAAATCATGTGACCATGGAGGTGAGGGTGTATTTCTGGGCTCTAACTCTCATTCCATTGGTCTGGGGTGGAGGCCTGTCTGTTCATCCTCAGGCTACCACCACAGTTTTTATTCTTTGTTGATTTCAGAGAGGGAGAGGGAGAAGTAGAAACATCAACCATGAGAAAGAACCACTGATCGGCTGCCTCTTGCACACTGGGGATTGAGCCTGCAACCCAGGCATGTGCCCTGACCGGGAATTGAACTGTGACCTCCTGGTTCAACCACTGAGCCACATCAGCTGGGCTTTCTCATATTATTGATAGTGTATAAAAATACAATTGATTTGTAAGTTTGTATCCTGCAACTTTGCTGAACTCCTCTGCAGGCTCTAACAGTATGTGTGTACTGTGGGTTCTTCAGGGTTTTACATATAAGACCATGTCTTCTACAAACAGATGCTTTTCCTTTTTCCTTTACAATTTGGATGCCTCTTACTTCTTTCTTGCCTCATTGCTCTGGTTAGAGACCAAAGTGCTATTATGAATAGAAACGATAAAAGTGGGGAAAGTTTGCATTCTTTCACCTTCGAGCACATCAGCTACAGGCTTTACATCAACGGCCTTTGTTATGTTGAGGTACTTTCCTTCGATCCTTGGTCTGTTTTTATCATGAAAATTTGATCCTTGGTCTGTTTTTATCATGAAAATTTGATTTTATCAAATGCTCTTTTTGCATCAGCTGCCATGGTCATGTTTCCCCTCCACACTCTACTCAGGCAGCGTGCTGCGTGGGTTTTCAGAGGCTGGGCCCTTCCTGCATCCTTGGGAGAAAGCCCTTGTGGTCCCGGTGTGTAACCCTCTTACTGCTGCTGAATTCGGGGCTAGCTGTGTGCTGAGGGTTTCTGCCTCAATGTTCACAAGATATGACTCTGCACTTTTCTCTCCCTGGAGTTGTGTGTGGCTTCAGTATCAAGATAACACTGACCTCACAGAATGAGTTAGAAGTGTTCTCCTGTCATCTCGACATTTTTGGAAGAATGTGGGAAAGAGTAGTGTTCCTTCTTTTCTACATGTTTGGTGAAGTTTCCCAGTGCAGCCACCTGGTTGTTGGCTCTTATTGCTTGGGGTTTTGAGTAGTTTAAATATCACTTCTTGCAGGTCTGCTCATTTTCTATTTGCTCTGGAGTCAGCTTTTGTAGTTTGCTTCTAGGAATTTGTCCATTTCACCTAGATTACCCAATTTGTTGGCATACAGGTATTCATAGTAGTCTTTTTTAACCTTTCTTATTTCTGCAAAGTTTAATAATGTGCTCTTTCACTAGTTTTAATAATTTGAGTCTTCTGTTCTTCGTCAATTTAGCAACTTCTGTTGTCCTTGATTTTCTCTAGTTTCTTATCCTCAATGTCATTTATCCCTGCTTTAATCTTTATTACTTCCTTCCTTCTGCTGGCTCTGGATTTGGTTTACTCTTCTTTTTCTGGTTCCTTGGGCACACAATTAGAAAGCTGACTTAATCTGCTTTGATGTAGACATTTACAACTATAATACCCCCGGCACTGGTCTCATTGCATCCCATACACTTTGGTACATTGCATTCTCATTTCATTCTTCTCAAGGTATTTTCTACTTTCCTTTGTGATTTCTTCTCTGATCCACTGGTTGTTTAAAAGTGTTAATTTCCACATATTTTTGACTTTTCCCAGATGCTTATACCCTAAGACTCAGTCATTTCACATTGAAATATATGCCCACTAGCTAGCTATGTGAGCAAAACTGCACCAGAAGAGACAGACACAATGTTCGCTTTTGGCTATTAGCCAAAACACATAATGACCGAGAGCATAAACAGAAGCATATTCATTAATGAAATACTACACAGCAAGGAAGACGATCAACTGCACATGAACAAATCAAGGCCACCCACCTCCAAAAAACACAAATGATCCCACCTGCTTCACGTTCAGAGGCAGAACGACATTCTATAGTCAGGCTGTGTGTTCTCCTAATTAAACTTTAAGGAGTAATTTCTGTAAAACTCACATTAGCAGTGACTCGGGGGAGAAGGTCGAGGGTACTGGCCAGGGAGAGGGGCTCCAGGTGCTGGCAGTGGTGTTTCTGGCTGCAGCTGGTTGTCTCCTGGGCATTTGCTTCATGGTACTTCATTAAGATGCACTTTTGAGATAATCCAATGAGTTGTGTGTGTGTTATACTTCGCAGTAAAAACGGTAAATATATATTGGCCTTGAGTTGGTAACTAATATTAAACACCTCCTAAAAGCAAAGACCAACACTTTCCGAAGGAATCCACCTTCAACCCAGGCCTCAAGGACTCTCCAGTCTACCCGGTTACAAGCACACAGGGGGAGGAAAGCTCACAGAGCATAAGGAAGTCCTCAGCGATGAGGAAACTTCAGAACTGGACCAGACTCGGATGCTGGACTTGACAGAACAGGAAACTGAGAAGTTTCTAACAAACATCCTATCTAATAAAGAGGGATTGACTTCCCTGCCCTCAAAGATGGTGGTGCCCACAGCCAATGAGGGAATATGCTAATTGACTGTCACGCCTCAAAGATAGCGGCGCCCAGTCCCCTTAGCCCTGCCGGGGGCGGCAGGCACACGGCAAGGCCAGGCCTGCCCCCAGGCGGGCCCAGCCGCTCCGCGTGCCTGCCTCTGGAGTCCCCCAATTCCCTCAGCCCCGCAGAGGCCCAGAGCCGCCCGAGGCTCAGGTAACCAGGGCCACCGAGGCTTACACTGCTGGCAGTGGCAGCAGCAGAGGTGTGATGAGGCATCACCTTCCCCTGATCACTGGGTTGCCTCCCGTCCCTGAGGGCTCCCAGACTGTGAGAGGGGGCAGGCCAGGCTGAGGGACGCCCCCCTCCAGTGCGTGAATTTTCATGCATCGGGCTTCTAGTTACAAATAAAAGGAGCCCTGGCCAGTTGCTCAGTGGTTACAGCGCCAGCCCCAGGACAGAAGGGTTGCAGGTTTGATTGCTGGTCAAGGGCATGTACTTCGGTTGCAGGTTCACATCCCAGCCCCCGAGTTGGGGTGTGTGTAGGAGACAACCAGTCGATTCTCTCTGTCTCTCTCCCCTCCGCCTCTTCTCTTTCACGCTTTCTCAAAAATCAATGGAAAAAAATATCCTTGGGTGAGGATTAAAAATAAAAAATAAAAGGCATAAATTAACATTAGTGATAAAAAGATGCATTAACTATATTTTATGAAACCTTTTATGCCAAAAACTTGTAAAGAGATGAGATGTATGAATCCTCTGAAACCTGTAACTTAACAGAACTGATTTTAAAAACTGCGAACAGTTCTCAAGTATTTTTTAAAAAATCGAATCGGCACACCACACTCACATGGAGGGCAAGTTGCGTGTCTGCACGCCCACTGGCCAAACTGCAGCGAGCCCGACCCCACTTCTGGGCCAAAGCGTCGGCTCGACTAGGGTCCAGGGTTGGACTGTGGCTCGAGTCCCGGGGGCTCAGGAGTGGCCTGGCGCCTGCTGGCATCGGAGTGTGCAGCCGGGTAAGCAACTTCCTTGCACACACGGGTGCGAAACACACTACACTTGAGGCAGACGGGAATCACACACCTTGGGCAAAAGGAGAAGAATTGGTCCCAAAGAGCAAAGGAATGCACAAGAAGCTACCTGGTTCAAATTCCTGGTTTTATTTCCATCTGTAACACCAGCAGAGGTCCGAAACAGACTGACATGGGTAAAGTTTAAACGTAACAAAGAAAGATTTGGACTATGTACACTGAGAAGGAGGGGTTTTCATATCGACCTTTTCCTATTTTGTAGTTTCTGACAGTAGAAACTTAACATCCCCCCAATTTAATGGAGAAGCACAGCTTTCATGATCAGTCGTTTGTCCTCAAATGTAAAGCAGGGCTTGGGCTGTGTGGTCATCCCGGCTCCTGGAGGCTAGTAATGTCAGGTCACAGGAGACGCTCCCACGCAGCCCGGAACAAACGCGATGGCTACCATGTCCGGTCGGAGGGCAGACGCGGCACAGCCCCCGTGGGAACCATGTCCTGCCTCCTCACCTCCAAGTAGAACATTATTCCTTTCATTAAAACTGACTAATTGGAAGTGAGCCAAACAGCTACAAAGGCAGAATGAAGAATAAAACTTTCACAGAAGAGGGACACTCCTTCAGCCCCGTTAAAGTGAACTGTGCCAAGTCCCTGCTCCTTCCAGGGAACTGAAGGCCAGTTATTGCTGCAAAGCCAGGGCCTCTCCCCCTGCCGATGCTCCACACGCAGAGGCTGCTGTCTGGCTTGAGGCCTGTGAGGAAGGTGTGGAGGTGGGGCAGGCTGGCACTCCCGTCACCCCTCAGCCCTGTGCGTTAGGAGCAGTGCTGCCACCTGGAAACCAGAGGCTCCCACGCCTGCAGAGTGGGCAGGGGGTGTTATCTGCCCCTTGGTGAGGAGAGGCCACAGAACTTTGCCAACCAGAACTGCAAAGGGCCACAGTCCAGATGGCCAGAGGATCAGCTTCTGAAATGGTGGGTTGGTGGGGTGGTGAGAAGGCCAAGGCAGGACCCAGCTTGTCAGGTGGGCCACGCTCTGAGACACGGGGTGGCTGCGGCTTGGGCAACAGCTGGACATGGGCTGATAAGGCCACAAATACTGCACCGCCTTCCGGTGTCCATACTTGAGGAGACCGTGGGCAGCGGGGACTGAGGACCAGCGGGCATATGGTGACGAGGACGGATTTTATCAGAAAGGAGCGGACACCGAGTACAGGCCTGCCCTGTGTACCGTGCCTGGCCCGCGCCAGGAGGGGAACTCTGGGGCCTGGTCAGTTCCTGAGAACGGGTGACAGGACAGGGCGGGGCCTGAGGGACACTCACGGTGCTGCATCTCCTGGGCTGCGAGGAGGCGGTGGACGACGGGCTTTATTGCACGTTTCATCCTCAGAGGCCTGGGCGTGGCCCTGCAGAAATCCCTGCCTGTCACTGCGAAGGTCGGAAGGAGCCCAGTGGTTGGTCCTCCGGGGCTGTCGGCTCGGTCACTGTGCGGGCAGAGGCCGGGTGAGGTAGCATGCCCGCAGGAGCTGGGTGGACTGGCTCACGCCCTGACCAGGGCCGGCTCCCCGACAACACTTGGGGGAAGCTGCGCACACCTCCCACGCGGGGGAGCTTCTTGGCAAACGTGCAGGTCCCAGAGAGGCTGGAACCTGCTTCTCAACTCCAAGGCGCTCAGCTCCTCGCCTGCCCTGGAACCAGGCCGCCAGGGGAGCAGGCCACACCCGGCCGGCAGGGCTGTGGCTCCGGCTGAGGCATCAAGCTGGAGGTAACGAGAGGACCTCAGAGGGCTGGAAATAAGGAGCAGTCTACATATCAGGCCTTGGTTTAAAGTCTTTTGAGCTCAGGAAATTGGAGGCAGAGAACCCACGAAGGCCGCGTGAGGAGCCCGCGGGGATGTCACTGTCCGTCCTTCTCCGAGGCAGCTCGCAGCGCATCAGATATAAATGGGGTGATAGCGTTTGTGGCTCATCTTCTTCCTGCAGGTCGGGCAAGTGTTGGCGTTCTTGAGGGAATCTCGGAGGCACTGGCTGCAGAAGACGTGGCCACACTCTGTAGAGACAATGACACGCCCATTCTGCACAATCTAGAAAACAAAAAGGAACACCTTCACGTGTGTCTGTCTTAGAGCAGCAGCTCCCAGGGAGTCCCACTGCCACCACCTGGGCAGTGATGGGCGAGGGAAGGGCAGGCACAGGGGGGGCAGGGCAATGGGCTGCAGAACTTTGGACGCCTGGCAGCCAGGCTCCCGGCAGCAGCCCAAGGGGAACTCGGGCACCAGAACCCACAGGCCTGGAAAGGTCAGGGTTGCTGTGTGGGCACAGGTGGGGCTGTGCGCAGGCTCAGGGGCCACAGTGAACACGGGGCCTTCTGCCTGGGCCAGGACAGGAAAACACAGACGGCCTCAGCTGCACAGGCGGCGCAGGAACACGGGGCCAGAGTGGAAGGCTGTAGGCCCACACACTGGCACATTCTCCCTGCACACACACGTATGACGAGCCATGTGCCAGTCCAGGCAGGACTGAAGGAGGCATCAAATCCCACCTAATGGGAGGGTCCTTGCTCCTCTCTCTCACTGAAGTGTGGAAGCCGAGCAGGAGGTCACAGCTGGTGTGCTTACCTCTGAGTATCCATCCATGCAGATCGGACAACTGACCGTGCCGGAGGGCCTAGAACACAGTGCCTCATGTCAGTGCCGAGCAAGCGCCGACATCGGACTCCTCGCGCCAGGGGACGTCCTGTGTGCAGCCTTTCCCTCCAAGAGCCTCCTCTGACCCTGCCTTAGCGAGGGCCCAGGGACTCACAGGAGGGCTGGCCACCCGAAGGGGTTAATGGGGCCACAAGAAAAGGGGAGAGGAGAAGGTGCAGACAGCCTGAGTCACCGTGTCCACCCCACACCCCCTCTGCCCCTTCACCCCCTGCCTGGGGCAGGGCCTGCACCTAGCACCCCAGCCTGCTGGTGCCTGGCCTCAATAGTGTTACCTGCAGGCAGCCGCCAGGCAGATGTTCAACAGCTCTGCCGGGCCACCGGCTCAGAGCCCTGGCTGAAGGCCCGGTGTTTCCAACAACACCCCCCACACTGGGAAACGGAGGGGGTGAGGGTCCCACTCCAGGGCCCAGAGGCTTCCTGGAGTGAGGGCCCGGCCCAAAGTTGGCAGCAGCAGCGAGCGGGTGGGCATGCAGGTACCTGAGCCCCGGCGATGTCTCTTCCCTGGCGTTCCTGGGAGTGTGCGTGGTCACATACACGTCCCTGTCCCTGCTCAGCTCCTCGTCATCGCTGCTCACCACACAGCTGTCAGCGTGGTCCTGGCGCTGCCTCCTAGTGTTCCTCCTGGGCCGCCTCCTTTCTAAGATGGGGCCCCGCACTCAGGAGGGGGGCCTCCCGCCCACCGCCCACCACCCACCTTCCGGCCAGGGATAGGCCAGTCTCAGACCCCAGAGACTCTGCTGCCACACCCAGGAGGTCCTGCCCAGCCCAAGGCGGCCACCCCCGTCTTGCCAGGAGAAGCCCATCCCTGCTATGATGGCAAGTGCCGAGCTGTGGGCCGGGCCCAGGCGAACAGCCAATCCGAACGCAGCATCATTGCGGATGCCCTCCCACTGGTGTCAGGTGTCCATCCAACCCAACGAAAAAGGTAACCACTCACCATCAACGATCTTTTAAAAAGGAGAGAAAAGAGAAAGACGCAATCAGTTTGACATAAAACATTCTGTGTCATCTGAATGCACAAATGATCACTTCCAAGCATTTATTTCAAATGCAAAATCCCCAGGGGACCAGCACCCCACCCTGGGGTCTGCCCCCCTGCAGCTGCCGCAGGAAATCTGAGGGAGCTGCTGGCCACGTGACCCAGGAAGTGACTTTACCCTGAGCGGTGTTGTGAGGACTAAGGGAGACAAGGCTACGGCCGCTGGGCACCAGGGACATGGAGCCCAGGACTAGCTCCACAGGCTCGCCAACGACAACTCTGACTCCACGTGGCCACTGCCAAGGACAGGGACAGTACGGATGAGGGTGTGCGGTGCCTAACACACTGTGAGAAGAATGGACTCCCAGACAAAAGCAAGCAGGCGAGGGGACTGATGCGCGTGCACACACCAAGGACCCACTGGACCCAGGGAAAGTGACCGAGACCTGGACGAGTCCCTGCCTGAGGCTCAGCCTGACATCCAGACTATTCTGCACCGACGGTTTCCAGCCCGCTCACAACCCTCAGGGTGACCAGCCACGAGTCTGCGGGACAGCAGCAGACCCACTCCCCCAGCGCCATGGGCTGGGCGACCTCCTTCGGGACAGCCCTGTGGCCTCTCCTCACGGACCCTGGCTGGCAGCTCCCACGCAGGGTTCCAGGCTGAGATGCTGGAGTTACTTCTGGAGACCTGCTCCTCCAGCCGTTTCACATGAAGCGCCTGCTCCCACAAATAAACCCTTTTCTGCTTTGAGACAACAGGAGTGGACTCGGGGTTCTAGCCTGACCCCTGACCGGCACAGCCATCCACCCCAGGAAGCAGCAGCATGAAGCCCACATGTGGGGCTACGGAAACCCTCCCCAGGAGGCTGCAGCGTGACGACCAAACTGGGAGATAGCCCTCACTGTGGGGCCACATTTCCTGGGACACAGGGTGGCTGGCAGAGGTACTGTCCACATGAGTCTAGAAGAGGCCACAGGAGGACCACCATCGGGGTGAGTGCATGGGGAGGGACAGGACGCCCCGGCTCCCGGCAGTGTGCGGGGAACTGGTCCCCACAGACCTGGCACACAGCAGGGCCTCCACACTTAGCGACCAGAGAGCCTCCCTCTCTGGGTGACGGACTGTCCCCGTCTTCAACAGGAAAACAGCTCAGAGAGGGGGCAGAAAAGGATGGCACCCCAGCCTGGCCTCGCGGCGCCACGCCCTCCTGCGCCCCTGCTACCTCCTAGCACTTCTTCCACCCAGCGGCTGCACCACACCCTTCCGGAACCCCGGAGGTGGGACTGCCCGCTCTGGGTGCCCTCCTCCGGGAGCACATGCTTGCAGGGCAGGGGACAGGTCGGGGAAGGGCACGGGCTTCAGACACGTGAGCTGGAGGAGCAAAGCGACGGGACAGGGACAGCAAAGCTCTGGAGCCTCTCCTCTGGCCGAGAGGCCTTTACAGAGCAAACACCACTTGCCCTGGCCGGGTAGCTCAGTTGGTTAGAGTGTCAAGGTTGAGGGTTCGATCCCCAGTCAGGGTACATACAAGAATCAGTCAATGAATTGATAAATAACTGGAACAAATAAGATGTTTCTCTCTCTCTAAAATCAATCAATAAAAAACCAAACAGCCCTAACTGGTTTGGCTTAGTGGTTAGGGCATCGGTTTGCGAACTGAAGGGTCCCAGGTTTTATCCCCAGTAGGGGCTGTACAGGAGGCAGCAGATCAATGATTCTCTCATCGATGTTTCTCTCTCTCCCTTCCTCTCTGAAATTAATGATAATTTAAAAAAAACACACAAAAAAACCCCAAAGTAGCTGTCATAATTTAAAAAACAACAAAAAAGATAAATACCAAATTTAAACAACAGCCATTCAGTCACCCGGCCTCAACAGCAGGCAGAACTAGGGGAGCTGGTCCAGACCAGCAGCCTGGCTTCTCTCCGAGCCACAGACTAGCCACAGGCCAGAGCGTTCAGGACGGAGACACCTGGTGCTCCCCCCCCCCCCCGCACACTGACCCAGGCGTCCCGAGCTTCTGAAGAACAGGCGAGCCTCAGAACACCTGTGAGGGCTGTCACCGTCACAGGCTCCTGGTGAGCGGAGGACAAGCCCTTCTCTTAGGAGACAAATACCCAGCATCCCAGGGGCCTCCTAGGGCTGAAGCAATATCCTGGGGTGAACGACAGGGCAGGGCAGCATGGCAGGACCACTGGGGTCCTCTGCACCAGCTGACCCCGGAAATACTAACGATGCTGCTCCCCAACCCAGAGCTCAGAGTCACCTGCTTTAGACGACCTGGTCCCACTAGAGAACACGGCCACACCCATCACCCAAGGCCACCAAAGGTGCCCACCCAGCAGTTGCACCCTCCCCCCCCCCCCCGCAGTGACAGACACGGAGCGATGACAGATGCTGTTCCTGTGGCAGCGCCAGGAGAACTGCAGAGCAGCCAGGCAACGCGCGCCTGTGCGCGACGGTGTCCCTGATGCCTGGCTGCTTCTTTCTTCACCAGGACTCAGGTTCACTCGCTCTCACTGTGTCCCTCGCGGCCTCTACTCCTAGACAGATAGATTGGGCTCTGCCCCTGTCCGCAGGAGCCGTGGGGAAGCAGATCCTCTCAATAGTCTCATAAACGAAAAGCCAGGTGGGGTACAGACAGTGCGACTCATCCGTGCCCAGGAAAAGACCACATGAAGATTCCGGGAAACCAAGCGGGCTTTCAATGAACCAGTCTCTTTCCAGCCTGGACCACGGCGGCCAGAGCAGACCTGGCCCAGCGCATGCTGGGGGAGCCAGGAGGAGAGCAGAGGAGGGAAGCACACGGGAGGGGTGTCAATAAGCACAGGCTAGTGTTCACCCATCTTCCCACTGAAAACAACAAACAAGATAGGACACATCTTAAAATAAAGAGCTATCAAGAAAAAGGTATTAGGTCCAAAGTAAAGGGAATATGATAATCTAGATGAGAAAAAACAACAACAAAAACAGCCCAGCAGGCTCCCGAGACCCTGCGGCGTCCTTGGGAAAGCCTCCCAGCGAAGCCAGGTCCGGCAGGAGCCGTGGCCAGTCAGTGCAGGGCCCACGCGGGCGGCGGCAGAGTCTCAGCCAATGGCCAAGGGCCGACAGGCAGGACGTCTCTGCGGACCAGTCATGTAAAGAATGAGTAATAAAAACAAAAGAGAGGGAATCCCCAGAGTTTGGAAGTTAAAAAATACAAATATGAAAAATACACTAAACTGAATGTAAGATACCAATAACAAAAACTGTAGGATACAGCTAAAGAAAATATCATCTTAAATGCATTTACTGGAAAAGAAACAATCAAAATTATTAGGTTAGAAAAACAGCAAAATAAACTAAAAAAAAATCAATGAATAAAAACAAACAAACTTACAAGAGAAAGGGTCCATAAAGCTAAAAGTTGGTTCTCTGAAAGATCTAATTAAGCTCTGGTGATACTAATCTAAAAAGACAGAAAACACAGCTAGTATCAGAAATGAAAAAGAGACATCTCTACAGATCCCACAGAAATAAGACATTACGAACAAAACGTATGCAAATAAAAGTGAAAATTTTAGATAAAATTGACAAATTCCTAAAAAATAATTACCCAAACTTATAACTTAGGGTTAGGTACTATCACTGTAGAGTTCTATCAAACATTCAGCAAACAAATAATTCCACTGGGCAAAGTCTTCTGGAGAAGAGACAAAAAAGGGGGGGCTAACTCACTTTATAGAGTTACCAATACTGTGATACCGGAACTCTATAAGCAATGTGTATAAAAGAAAAATTACAAACCAATCTTTTTTTTTTTTTAATAGATTTTATTGATTTTTTACAGAGAGGAAGGGAGAGAGATAGAGAGTTAGAAACATCGATGAGAGAGAAACATCCATCAGCTGCCTCCTGCACATCTCCCATTGGGGATGTGCCCGCAACCCAGGTACATGCCCTTGACAGGAATCGAACCTGGGACCCTTCAGTCCGCAGGCCGACGCTCTATCTACTGAGCCAAACCGGTTTCGGCACAAACCAATCTTAAAAATAGTTGCAAAAATAACAGTATAAAACATTAGCAAACTGAATCTAGCAATATTCAAAATGATAATTTCACGACAACAATGTTGAATCGGTTTAAGACTAGAAACCAATGTTAATTCTCAACTTCAATGTATGAAAGGGAGAAAAAATATCATTAGACGGAGTTGTTAAAATTAAAATGCAGCACTGAATCCCCAGATGAAACCTGCAGCCAAACAGGAAACCGATGAATATCTCCGATCTGATAATGGATATAAACAAACAAATAAATACCCAACAAGAGGTCTTATTAATGGTGAGACTTTGAAAGGATTCTTTCAGATTTGGAATGAGAAAAGAAGGTCACCATTTTCATTTAGATAAAAAATAAAACAGAACATTAAAACACCATTTTTTGCCGAGGCCAGTGTGGCTCAGTTGATTGGAGCATCGTTTTGTATATGGAAAGGTTGCTGGTTCGATTCCCAGTCAGGAAATGTAGGGAAGGCAACCAATTGATGTTATCTCGCCCTCCCCATCCCCCCTCAAATCAGTAAGCATAAAATTGGATGAGGATTAAAAACAAACAAACAGAAAAACTCCACACCATTTTCTTTTCTTTTTTAAAAATATGTTTGTACTGATTTCAGAGAGAGAGGGAGAGAGAAACATCAATGATGAGAGGGAATTACTGATTGACCTCCTGCACACCTCCCCTGGGCTCCAGCCCACATCAGGGACTGTGACCTGGTTCATGGGTCAACACCCAACCACTGATGGAGTCACACCAGTCAGACCCCACACCATTTCTTTCTTTCTTTTTTTAAATATATTTTTATTGTTTTCAGAGAGGGAGAGGTGGAGAGGTGGGGAGGTGAAGAGAGGGAGATAGAAACATCAATGATGAGAATCACTGATCGGCTGCCTCCCACACGCCCCCTACTGAGGATTGAGCCTGCAACCTGGGCATGTGCCCTTGACCAGAATCAAACCTGGGACCATTCAGTCCGCAGGCTGACGCTCTATCCACTGAACCCCAAACCATTTTCAATAGCAACTTAAAATGTTATGTACGTAGGAACAAGTGACTTCCCTGAAACATCTATGTTGGGATCATCACTGAGTTTCTTTAGCAGAAACCTAACCAGACTTGCAGGAACACCTCAGGGAACATTATAAAACTTTAATGAGAGGCATTAAAGACGCCATCTCGAACAACATACAAAAGCAATTTATGTGGATTATGGAACTAAATATGAAAGGTAAAACTTTTGAACACAGGAACATATTTTAGCAATAAGATTTTCTCGAACAAGCTGATAAATTCAACTGTGTTAAAATTAAAAACCTCTGTGTAAAAGCCAACGAGGAAAGGCAAGTCTCTGAGTAGAAGGTACAAAATATAACTAGAGGCCTGGTGCACGAAATTCATGCACTGGAATAGTGGTGGTGGTGGTGTGTGTGCATCCCTCAGCCTGGCCTGCGCCCTCTCACAGTCCAGGAGCCCTTGAGGGATGCTGTGGAGGCAGGAGAGGCTCCCACCACCACCGCTGTGTTCGCCAGCCTGTGGGCCTGGCTTCTGGCTGAGCAGCACTCCCCCTGTGGGAGTGCACTGACCACCAGGGGGCTGATCCTGCATTGAGCGTCTGCCCCCTAGTGGTCAATGCGTGTCTAAGTGACTGGTCATTCCGCCGTTCAGTTGATTTGCAAATTAGCCTTTTATTATATAGGACTAGAGGCCCGGTGCACAAAAATTTGTGCACTTGGGGGGGAGGTCCCTCAGCCCAGCCTGTGCCCTCTCGCAGTCTGGGACCCCTTGGGGGATGACCACCTGCTGGCTTAGGCCCGCTCCCTGGGGAATTGGGCCTAAGCTGGCAGTCAGACATCCCTCTGGCAGCCCGGGAGCCCTCGGGGGATGTCCACTTGCCAGTGGGGAGCAGGCCTAAGCTGCAGTCGGACATTCTTAGCGCTGCTGAGGAGGCAGGAGAGGCCCCCACCACCACCGCTGTACTGGCAGCCGTCAGCCTGGCTTGTGGCTGAGCAGAGCTCCCCCTGTGGGAGCGCACTGAGCACCAGGGGGCAGCTCCTGCATTGAGCATCTGCCCCCTGGTGGTCAGTGTGTGTCATAGTGACCAGTAATTCCCAGTTGTTCTGCTGTTAGGATCAATTTGCATATTACCTTTTTATTATATGAGTGCCTGGCCAGCCTGGGTGAGGGGCTGATGGCTGTTTACAGGCTGGCCACAGCCCCTTCAGGGTGGGGGTCCCACTGGGGTGCCTGGCCATCCTGGGCGAGGGGCTGAGGGCCGTTTGCAGGCTGGCCACAACCCCCAGCCACCCAAGCTCCCAGTGGAGGCTGGCTGGAAGCAGGTATCTGGGATTTATTTAGCTTCTATAATTGAAACTTTGTTGTCATGAGCGGAGGCCGCAGATCCTCCATCGCCTGGGCAATCAAGCCTCCTGCTTGCTCCAGCTCTGTGGCTGCCAGCCGCCATCTTGGTTGGGTTAATTTGCATATAGTCGCTCTGATTGGCTGGTGGGCATGGCTTAGGGTATAGCAAAGGTACAGCCAATTAGCATTTTTGTCTCTTATTAGTGTAGATCAGTGATGGTGAACCTTTTGAGCTGCGCGTGTCAGCATTTTGAAAAACCCTAACTTAACTCTGGTGCCGTGTCACGTATAGAAATTTTTTGATATTTGCAACCATAGTAAAGCAAAGATGTATATTTTTGATATTTATTTTATATATTTAAATGCCATTTAACAAAGAAAAATCAACCAACAAAATGAGCTCGCGTGTCACCTCTGACACGCGCGTCATAGTTTTGCCATCACTGGTGTAGATGGTAGGCTCCCTGTAACCAAAGAGGTGTCCTGGAGAGACAAGTCGCCCAGGATGCTGACCAGACCCCCATGCGCCTGACCATCCCAGGTCTCTTCCCTCAAGGGCCACAGAGTCCAGACCTGATGCCACAGGAAGGGGACACCAGCAGCATCCCAGGCTCCCCTGTCCCTGGAGTCACACACAACCAAGGCACCAGGTGGCAACTCCAGGCACCCAAATCCTCCAAGCCAGCTTCTCTGGGAACCAAGAAAGCATTCCTGCTCACCAGCCGGGAGGTATACACTGGTATTTGTGGGCACCACCCCAGGTGCCAGGCACTCAAGGCCAGCATCTCTTAGTCCTCACAACACCCTACTGCTCCAGACAACATGTTCCACTCTATGAACAAAGTGAACGAGGCTCAGTCACTCACTTGGGGTCACATAGCTGGTGCAGTGTAGAGACAGGGACTAAGGAGAGAGGGCCCCTCGGAGTTTGCCCCCAAGGGCTTTTGTGCCACTGAGAGGAGGTCAGGGGCACACGGGTTTTCCCTCCACACCCAACAAAGCCACAAGCAACTTCCCTGAGACATCTATGTTGGGACATCACTGAGTTTCTTCCGCATAAACCTAACCGGTGGCCAAGGCCTGTACACCTCGTGCTGCCAGGGCCCGACAACAGCGCAAGGCTTACCACTACAGAGTCGTTGTGTGTCAGGTCGACGACCACGGGCTCCATAGACTCACAGGTGAGGTCCACTATTTCATCTCCAGCTTCAAAACAAAGCATTTTAACAAACATTAGGAGGAAAGGAAAAGCATACACTCTCGCTTCGTTCATGACAACAGAGCTCGGGCTTCTAGCAACCCCCCGAAGTACAGCAGGCAAAGAGCGGGCTGACAGCCGAGGAACGCCCTTCTAGCACTTGGCTGAGTGGCAGCAGAGGGCTTCTACCAGCACCCCACCGGGGATGGGATGTCTGTGCTCACGCACCTCGTCCCCGTGGCCTCACACTGCCACCCGGCCAGACCTCTCTGCCCTCACCTGCTCCCTCACAGGGGAGAGGCAGTGACTGACAGGTAGGGACCAGGCATGGGCGGCTCAGGGCCTTTCTCTTTGGGATGCATGAGTCTGAAACCTCTGACCAGGAAATCAACCCTGCTCCCCTTCAGTGCTGGAGCTGACACTCTAACCACTGAGCAAACCGGCCAAGACCATCAGTAATGTTTTAATGGGCCCTGGAACCTCAACAGCCAAATGGGTCAGGTCTGGCCTGCAGCTTGCCTTTGAGCCCCAGGGCCCACTGCAGTGTCTACATGAACACACAGCAACACGGGAAAGAGCGGGTGCCCAGCGTCTCCTGGCACGTATGTCCGCATGAAGGGCAGAGCACACTCCAGTCCTATACGCTGAAAGACATACCCGTTTTCCTCTGTTATTAACTTTAGAAAGTATGAGGGTAGAATTTTTAAAAACAGCATTTGTTTAAATTTGGGGGAAGTGACTTGTAACATCTTTAGCATGTTCAAATTGTTTTATTTTCTTGTGTTAAAAGTTTCATGCCGAAACCGGTTTGGCTCATTGGATAGAGCGTCGGCCTGCGGACTAAAAGGTCCCAGGTTCGATTCCGGTCGGGGGCATGTACCTGGGTTGCGGGCATGTGCCCAGTGGGAGATGTGCAGGAGGCGGCTGATCGATGTTTCTCTCCCATCAATGTTTCTAACTATCTATCTCTCTCCCTTCCTCTCTGTAAAAAATCAATAAAATATATTTAAAAAAAAAAAAGTTTCAGAGGAATAAAAATCACACTGTATCAGAGATGTCCAATGTAATTTATACAAAATGACCTTGTTCTTTTTGAAATAGTCCAGGTACTAACTCACTATAATTCATAGAGCCATTCCTTCTCTTGTTGATGGACCCAATTTTGGACTCTTACAAATAAGGCGACCCTCCCAGGGCAGCTAGTGCTCAGCCCTGCACAGAGGTGCGACCACCTGCTCCCAGCTGCCCGGGAGACCCAAGGAGCAGCCCCTGCACCAGCCTCCCCTAACAGAGGGCAGGGTGCAGATCCCAGGGCGCCAGATTTGGGGCAGTGGACTGGGTGGACCAGGGCCTCAGGCTCCAGGCTCTTTGGGATTCACGGTTCTGAGTGACCTACTGCTCTGGAGGGCCCACAAAATGTATCTAAGACCAGCAGCTTCTCTTTAGAGTCAGTTTTCAGGCATCTATGATAATAAAAGCGTAATATGCTCATTAGACCAGACGTCCTTCCGGATGAAGCTGGGGCTGTGAGGGCCGAGGCAGAGGCGGCCGCCACGGCGGGCTGTAATCACAGTTACAACAACAGCCTTAGACTTGCAGAGTGCAGGGTCATGGTTTGCCACCTGCACTTCCCTGGGCAGGCAGCCTGACCACACGTCTGCCTTCTTGGACAATTTCCTGTCTTAATGAAAAAGAGGAGAGGAAAGCCGAGTTATTCACTAGGCCACGCACACTGGAGACAGGATTTTAAATAGTGAAGGTGGGCCCTAACCAGTTTGGCTCAGGGGGTTGAGCATCGGCCTGGGCCTGCGGACTGAAGGGTCCCAGGTTCGATTCCGGTCAAGGGAATGTACCTTGGTTGCAGGCACATCCCCAGTAGGGGGTGTGCAGGAGGCAGCTGATCGATGTTTCTATCCCTCTCCCTTCCTATCAATAAAAAAAAAAAAGCAAATAAATAAATAAATAAATAGTGAAGGTGGGCCACTCCCTGAAGGTTGACTGGCAGCCCAGCCAAGCTAGTAGCCATTGGTGACCCATGGAGGTCCTAGGGCACCCAAGGGCAGCTCGACTCCCTTCAGCAGCAAGTTGTAAGGCAGGTGAGTCTGAGACTGTGTGGTCCTAGAGCGACACTGCACTAAGCCCACCTGTACAGCATGGTCACCTGATTGGCTCATTCCAGCCACATGACAAGCTTGTGCAGCAGGTGCGCCATTCCCATTTCAGCGGAGGAAAGGGAGGCCCCGTGGCTGGGAGGTGGCAGTGCTGGCACCGACTGGCTGTGGCGGGGCGGCCACCCACACCCACGCGTGCAGCACCTGCCAACGCCCCATGGTCAGTGTCCCGGGAGCTTACCGCTTTCTACGAGCTCTATGGGTTCTGTCTCCAAGGCCATCACCGGGGTGGGGGCTGCTTCCCGAGCTCGCTTCTGGGCTTGTCTGGAATTTGCTGCCCCTCCTCGTCGCTTCCTCTAAAGGTGAGGGGGGAGGGGCAGGGAGAGACAGTCACATGAGCTCCTGACTGACGGGATTTCAGCAAGACAAATCAAAAAAGTCAACAAAAAGGAAGAGAAGGCAGGGAGGGAGCCGACCTGAGGTTGGGGTCCTTTCAAAACACTGAATGTTTAAATAGAAATCACTCAGAACAGAGAATGAATACAAATTCCTTAAGTAGAGCTCACTCCATCAAACCATCATCTGTCAAAATCACATGACAGCCCTAGCCGGTTTGGCTCAGTGGATAGAGTGTCAGCCTGTGGACTGAAGGGTCCCAGGTTCGATCACCAGTAGGGAGCGTGCAGGAGACAGCCGATCCATCATCCTCTCTCATCACTGGTGTTTCTATATCTCTCTCCCTCTTGCCCTCCCTTCCTCTCTGAAATCAATAAAAATATATTTAAAAATAAAATTAAAAATATAAAATACAATAAAAAGCACATGACACACAACTCAACTGAATCCTCTGGTCCAGGTGGGATTGGGCCAGGAACGCTTTTTTTGTTTTCGTCTTTATTAATTTCAGAGAGGGGGAGGGAGAGAAACTTCAACTGGTTGCCTCCCAAACAGGCCCCTGCCGGGGACTGAACCTACAACCTGGGTAATGCGCCCTGACCAGGCATCAAACCCATCACTGCTTGGTATACAGCAAGCATGTTCAATTCAAAGGATAACATGGGCCAAATAAACAAGGTTTGAGTTTATATGGGCCACAAAAAAAAAAAAAAGGTTTAATTTTCATGGCTTCCCCAGCAGCCTCCAGGTGACCGAGGACTCCTGCACCTTTACCCCATTCTCCTGCAGGTGGCCTTGCCTCTGCCTGTCTCGGAAAAGGACTAGATCTTTCTGAGTAGACACGGCTGCACAGACCCTCGTGCCCACTGCAGCCCATGTGGTTTCTGATCACCACTGAGTGAGTGAAGAGGCAGCCACAGCCCTGGCCTAAGTCCAGGTGCTGGACCTGACCACCCCGTCGTGGGCACTGTAGCAATATGTCCCCAATACCACCCCCCCAAACCTCCACAGCAATCCCCTTTCCTGGCTGCCCCCTCAGCCCCCTCCATGCCTTTAACCCGGCCTTGTCCCCAGCCTGGACTACCCATCCCTCCCTGCCTTCACCCGACCGATTCTTACAGCTTTCAGAGACCTACTCAAATGTCCCCTCCATCGCAGGGACATGCCTCCTGTGCCCAGCGTAACTGCCCAGGGACCTCCTGCAAGTACACTCCCCCGGGGCAGGGAGGACGCGCTGTTCGGTCAGGGCCCAGGAGAGAAACTGTAGAACGTATGCTAGGACTTTGCACCCTCGCCCTTCTCTGCCCTCCTGCCCCTCATCACAGCTCCCTCCTTCCTGTGGGCAGAGCCCAAAGGGTCCACAGCTCTCAGGTAAACATGACCACCTAGCTCTCTCCCATCCGGAGGACACTTAACTGCACACACTCTCCTACACGTTGCACTGCCGCCTGTCCAGATCCCTGAGCAGAGCGTGGGCTCAGAGGGGAGGTACCAGCTCAGGACTGTGCTTCCCAGTGTGGTCAGGAGGATGGGGGGAAGGGGGGGGGGCGGGCGGGGGGCGGGAGAGGCAGTGAATGGAAACGGAAACGTTTCTATTATTGTTCCCACTGGAGCAACCTCACCCTGCCCCACTCCCACCCCACCCCCACCCCCTCTGACCCTGCAAGGAAAGCGAGGCTGTTTCACATCTGGTCCACCTGATGGGAGTTCAGCATCTCACTAAATAGCTGTCTTGAGTTAGATCATTGGACCAACCCTCTCGGTAGGGAATAAGGGGGGGGGGGGTGCTGGGGAGGATGACCTTCAGGCAGCCTTCCCTGGAGTCAAGGGGCTCCTGGTGACACCAAAGCAGAGCTGCTGCTGCACCCGAGAATAGCTCACAGCAGTTATGACGACGCACCCACTTTGGTTGCCGAGTAAGAGAGCTCTAAGGATTCTTACCACCACGCTCACATTGGACCCAGAACGACACAGGGAAAGAACTGAAGGGAAGGTGGAAACTGGGCTGTGAAAGGTTACATAAGCCAGAGCCTAACATTCTAGGACGGACAGCTGCCCTGCAGGCACGGACTTCCCAACCCTCAGCCTCCCTTCAGAAGGCCACGCAGACCCTGGCCGACTAGACAGCATGTCGCTCTCACTCCCAAAGGTCCTGACCTGGGCTCCTCAGAAGCACCTCGCTGTGCCATCGGAACAAGTTCCGAGCTGGGAGAACTCACCGTGCTCATGGTGCTGCCCGGCTGCACCCGCAGAGACGGCAGTGACTGAGCCAAGGCCTGCAGGGACGTCCAGCGTTCTCAGCCACTCATGCCCGCCGCTCACTCATCCTCTGGCTGCCACGGCATTCGAGGCCACAGATGTCCTCCAAGTCCTGAAGAGCAAACGCATCAAGCTGATCAACACTGCCACCTCCACGGTGCCACCGGTCACAGGTCCTTTCTGTCGGCGGGGCCTTTGCTGAACACTCTGCAACGTCAACGTGCCCTTCAGCCCACGTCCCTCTCAGGAAACGAGCTCCTGTGGATGCAGGACCACGGACCCCAGGGCCTGTCACCCTGCCCTCGTCCTGGTGCTGAGCCCCGGGAAAGCTGCTGGGAAAAGAGGAGAATCCACCGCCTCACGTGGCCTCACCAACCCTTTCGCAATGGGAAGGACAGAGGTTCCCAGGCTGCAGCCGAGCCCAGGGCCCCTTGCTCTTCCCGCAACGTCACTGCCTGCGTCCTCTGGAGGAGACGAGAGCCACCCCCCGACTCGCCCTGTGGCCAAGGGAGAGTGAAGGACCAAGAGTGTGAATGGGTAGCCCAGGAGGAGGTTCCAGGAAGGGCAGAGAAAGAAGGTGCAGAGGCTGCCGGAGAAGGAGGGGCCCTGGGTTTCACTGGGAGGTGGCAGCTAACCACAGCCCAGTCAGCGTCAGGGAGGCAGTGGCTAAAGGAGCAGCCGGAAAGCAAAACCCTGGAGCCTGGAGTGAAAGCAAGGAGGCAGCTCTGGTCACCTGTCCCTGGTGACTGTGGGCTGGAGCCGGCACAGGCTCACCTGAGGCCGTGTCACACCAGGCTCTGGTCAGCAGGTCTGGGATGAGCTCCCAACAGTGCTGCCGGCGCTGCTCCAGCGGCCACCTCCCAACTGACCTCCCGCCGCAGTGCCCTCCCCCACGCTAAAGCACACACTGACCACAACGACCTTTGCCTGGTCCGTCAAGTCCTCACTCCTAAGCGTGGCCTGTGGAGAAAGGCCGGCCTTGCAGCCAGGCGCCTCCACGCCCTCCCTGTGGCCATGGTGAGGCACTGACCTCTGCGCCCCGTTTCCTCACCCACAAGGCAGGACAGCCCCCCTCCACGCTGTGTGGGGACCACAGGGCCAGTGCAGAGCATGGGCAGCGGGGTGCACGCTTTAAAGGCTGTGAGCTGACCCCGCCGCCGCCTTCCCCAGCAACCCCACTGCACAGCTCCCCTTTCCTCGAGCCCTTAGGGGTGCTGTGTAGCCGATGGGCTGCAGTCCCACCTCGCTCACTGGCCACTAGGGCTCCTGCCCTCATGCAGCAACCAACCCAGCCACCAGCTCCAGTGCTCTCGCTGTGGCACACGCTCCGCGAGACGCAGAACAAGGAGGCCGAGGTCTGTCCCTGCGCAGCTGGCCTTTCTCTCGCACCCGGTGGCTGCGCCCTGCATGCCTGCACCCAGCACCTCATTACCCGTCTGCCCCCATGGGGTTTGGAAGGACAGCTCTTCACTGTGTCTCTCTGTAGACTTGCTGGCAGGCCTCAGGTGGGGGCACACCCTGGGCCACATGTGCTCTCCCCGAGAATGGCACAAGTTCTTCCCAAAGCAGCACCTCACCTGGTGAGCCCCCACCTTAGCCTGGTCTGCAGGGACAGGGGAGGCGCCCCAACAGCTCCAAAAGACTCACAAGACCTGCCCCAATTCCCCGAGCCCAACATTTATGTTCCTGAGCAAGAAGTGTCTTGCATCTGGAGGTACACCCACAACGGAGCTTTCTTTGGGGAAAAGCCATCTACAACAGTGGTGAGTCTCAGAATTGAGAAGATGGCTTTAATTTGAGGCTTTCCATGTGGTTGTTACAGGTGTCTTGTGCTGTGCCAGAGCTGCCCCCATTGTGTGGCCTGCACACCCCCTTGCCCTCTGAAACCAGCCTCCTGCATCCCGGCAACCCCAATGAGACTGCTTTCCAGGAGCTTCCTCACTCTCCATCTTCTCGCCCTTCCACACCCTCCCAGGACCAAGGTCCCAAGGTCAGGCATTCCACCCCAAACCTGTTCTTCTTTTGAGGATAGCAAGGGCCAGTGGCCAGAGGACAGAGGAAGCTGGGAAGATGGCCTTGGGAAACCTACCCAGGGGCTGGGTCGCACCGGGTGTAGGGGAAGCAGGGCCTCCCCAGCAGACCAGGTGGGAATGGGGAAGGCGCGGGTGGGTGGGCAGAGGCTAACTCCCCGCACCGTGCCACAGGCGCCAAGCCACCCTGACTCTATGTGGCTCCCTGCGCACTCACTCTCCTGAGGGAGCTGGTGTGCAGACACAAGGGGCCCTCATCGTGCTGACTGAGAGGCCAGGGTCGTGGGAAAGGCAGCCTTCACCAACTACAAAGGCTCCTGGGTCGCGCAGGTGAGAGGCCATCGGAATAACGAAACTACCGTGTGCAAGGCACCGCACTCTGCACACACGTCTCATGTCATCCCTTATCACCGAGGAGGCGGCTCCGAGGTCACCATTTCACACACAAGGAAGCTGAGGATGATCAGGGGAAGGAACTTGCCCAAGGCCCACAGCCAGGACACGAGAACCTGATTTAAAACAGGGCGTCCTGACACCAGAACCCACTCAAATAGAGCCCATGGCAGAATCAGCTGTATCCACGAACCTGACCCAGGGGAGGGCAACAAGACACAGGTGCTGAGGGCAGGCAGTTCCCAAGGCTGCGGAAAGGCTCAGGGGAGAACCGGGTGCAGGTAGAGATCACAGCATGTGTGAAATCTGGGGAGTCAGGTAGAGAAAAGAGAATATAAAGAGAATAAGAAGTTAGAAACGAAGCCTGGACCCTGGAGATCCCAGCAGGAGGAAGCAGGAGAAAGGGCTGGTACAAGGGCTAGAATGAGGCCAGAGCGGCCCCAGGGAGCGGATCGCTGTGCCCTATGCAGGTCCAGGCCCAAGCCAGGCTGCCTGGAGGAAGTGACTCACAAGATCAGGCCCCAGATGAAGGGGTTACTCCAGAAACAAAGCAGGTCGAGGGGCACACAGAGCACAGAAGATGCCCCAGACAAGGACTGCCCTGTGCGGTGGGTCAGAGAACCCAGGACGGAAGGTAACACGGGCTCACCTCCTAAGCCACAGGTCAAGGGGGGCAATCAAGGGCTTTAGACAGAGGCCACATTCAGAGATCCTGTCACCTGTGCTCCGAGGGCCGATGGAGACTGAACAAGTCAGACCCCAGACCAGTAAGGAGACTCAGAGCAACCCAGGCAGGACAAAACTGTGGGCTGTGAGGGGGTGGCAGTGAGTGAAGGAACAGAGGTGACTGACTGGATGGTGGTGGTGTGTGTGTGTGTGTGTGGGGGGGGGTGTTGTTTGAGGCTGATGTTTTCTGTGTTCTTACCGATTTAAAAAACATGTTTTTCTTTATTTCAGAGAGAAAGGGAGAGGGAGAGAGAAACATCGATGATGAAAGAGAATCGACTGGCTGCCTCCTGCACACCCCACCTTGGGGATCGAGCCCGCAATCCAGGCCTGTGCCCTGACCGGGAATCGAGCCGTGACCTCCGGTTCATAGGTCCAATGTTCAATCACTGAGTCATGCCAGCTGGGCTGTTCTTACCGATTTAATGGTCCACTCAACCATCCGGTTATTGTGAGGTGACACTGCGCAGTGACACTGGCACTCAGGGATGTGCATGCGGACACGAGGACATGATTACATCACGGTAGCGGCAGACTGGGGCAGGCAGGAAGCAGGAAGCGTTGCGACTGGAACCGAATTGTTGTTGCATCTTACACCACTGTTTTCCAGTGCCCCCGACCCACGAGGGCACGTGAGCCCTCACACCATGCCAGGGTAGCCCCCGAAAACCCGGGGCTAACTCCCCGCACCGTGCCACAGGTGCCAAGCAATCCTGACTCTTGGCGGCTCCCTGGGCACTCACTCTCCTGAGGGCGCCGGTGTGCAGACACAAGGGGCCCTCATCGTGTTGACTTAGAAGGCGGCTGAGCAGTCCCCGTGCATTTGGATGAGGTGGCTGGGCAGCCTCCTGATGCGGTGTGGTGCGGTGATAGCAGGGAAAATGCCTAGGCACTAACTAGATCAGTGGTCGCCAACCGGTGGTCCGTGAGGTCTGAAAGGTTGGCGACCGCTGGACTAGATCACATCTCCCCTTTTAAGCCATAAACACAGAATCATTCCCATGTTATTTTAAGCACTTCCAAAAATGGAATTTCAAAAGTAGGATTACAGAACGCGTGTTACAAAGCAACAATATTTTGCCTTGGCTGCATGGCTCAGCTGGTTTGAGTGTTGTCCCTACACCCGAAGGTCATGGGTTTGATCCCTGGTTGGGGCATGTAGGGGAGGCAACTGACCATGTTTCTCTCTCTCCCTTCCTTTCTACAAATCAATTTAAAAAATATTTTCTTCCATGAGGATTGAAAAAAAAAAAAAAGCAAGAATCCTTTAAAGACTGTTCCGTGTATGGACCAGTGCCCGGCACGACCTGCCCTCCCTGCCCTCCCTGCCCTCCCTGGTATTCACTGGGCACGAGCATTACAAGCTGCAATGACGTTCATCTCAAAGCTTCTGAAATGGAACTTTATGACATGCTCACATCACAACCAGGCCTTGGCACTAAGAGAAACAGGAACCTCTGGAGTGTTACACAAAGAAGGCGCGTGGCAAACAGCCAGCACCGTGCAGCCGGCACTCTGCGCCGTGGAGCCTTGCACACATACATACTTGACCTCCGTGCCTCAGCTTCGCCACCTTTCACGTGGGAAACGCCCCTTCCCCTGCAGCTGTCCTATGGGACAGAAGTGCCCAGTATGGCTCTGAGCACCCGGAGGCTCCATCAGCTGATTCACTCAACGACTATGCACAGGGTCAGCCTGCTCCAGAAAGAGGGGTGAACGCAGCAGACAGGAAGCAATATTCTAAGGGGAAAAACCATCAGTATTAGGTAAAGACTGCGTATTGTGCCAGAAGGGCCAGAAGTCGTGGCTCTTTTGACAAGTGTAAGAGCAAAGCGAGCTTTCAACCCCAGGAAGAACTGGGACAAGTGTTGCCGGCTCTTCTCCCAGGCACTTATTCCTAAAGGAGGCCCAGCAGCCTCACCCTCTGCCCTCCCCTCAGGGACCAAACGGACGTGGCAAAACCAGGAAGCAGCAGACAGTGCTTGGACAGACAGTAAGCGGGTCCTTCGTAGGTTTGCCTGATGACCTCGAGGAAGTCCCAGAGGCAGGGGCCTCATCCCGCGCAGTGCCTGCACACAGGGAGTCCTCCTTCCCCCGCGCAGGACCATCAAGGACTGCCTTCTCTTCACTAGAGGACAGAGATGCTCGACTTCTGTGATGCAGGCCTCGAGAAAGAGAATGGGCTTTAGCTTATGAAAAACCTATGAAAAAAGTTAGTACCAACGAAAAGATTCTTCAGCCTTAAACAGAAATTCCTGATACATGCTGAAGACATTACACTCAGTGAAGTAACACACAAAAGGACAAATACTGCATAATTCCTCTTATGTGAGGTACTGAGAGAGCCATCAATCCAAAGACAGAAAGCAGAATGGGCCTGGCTGGTGTGGCTCAGTGTTTGAGTGTGACCTATGAACCAGGAGATCACGGTTCCATTCCTGGTCAAAGCACATGCCTGGGGGGGTGGGGGGCGTGCAGGAGGCAGCCGAACAATGATTCTCTCTCACCATTAATGCTGCTATCTCTCTCTCTCCCTCTTCCTTCCTCTCTGAAATCAATAATAATAAAAAATACACACACACGCACATTTTCTTAAAGAAAGAATGGTGAGAGAAACCAAGATGGCGGCATAGGTAAACACCGGAAATTGCTGCCTCGCACAACCACTTCAAAAATACAACTAAAAGACAAAACGGACATCATCCAGAACCACAGGAAGGCTGGCTGAGTGGAAATTCTACAACTAGAAGGAAAGAGAAAAGCACACTGAGACTCAGAGGAGGTGCAGAAGTAAAGTGCAGAGGTATGGAGGCCCACGTGGAAAGGGCTGGCAACTGAGGACACAGTTGTCTTTTTCAATCGGGAGGGAGTCTCAAGCTCCCGACTGCTCTGAACTCCAGTTCCTGGCGAGTCTCTGGGGACCCAGACTCATACGGGGAGAAACTGGACTGTCTGGCATCGGTCGGAACTCAAGGGCGGCTTTCTCTCAGAGGTGCTTGAAGTGATTACCGGGACACTGAGACGCACTCGGGGCCTCTTAGGGCAGGGCTGAGGATCAGCCATAGCTGCTTGCTCCGCCCTGTTGATTCCCTGAGACCCCGCCCCACCCAAGCTGTGGCAGAGGCTTTTGCATATGAAAGGCCTGGCCCTTTGCAAT